ATGATGCATGGTTGGTTTGATACCAAGAATAATATAAAAAAATTTACCACATCAACAAAATAAAGGAGAAAAAAACCCACATAAACATATCAGGAGATGCTGAAAGATCATTAGGTAAAATTCTAAACATTCCTGATAACAACTTGAAGTTAAAAAGAGTGAAGGAAATTCCTATTATGATAATTAACTATTTGTCCAAAACTAATTTCTAAATAGTGAATCACTAAAATGTTAGTTCCTTTAAGATCAAGAGCAAGACAAGGATGCCCATTATCATCATTATTTTTTTTAATTTTTTTTTTTAATGTTTATTTATTTTTGAGACAGAGAGAGACAGAGCATGAATGGGGGAGGGGCAGAGAGAGAGGGAGACACAGAATCGGAAGCAGGCTTCAGGCTCTGAGCCATCAGCCCAGAACCTGACGCGGGGCTCAAACTCACGAACCTTGAGATCGTGACCTGAGCTGAAGTCGGACGCCCAACCGACTGAGCCACCCAGGCGCCCCCATTATCATCATTATTATTCAACATTGTTTTGTAAGTTCTAGGGAATGCAATAGATAAGAAATAAAATATTTGGCATAACCATGGAGAAGAAAAGGTAAAAAAAAATTTTTTTTCGATCTATAACTATGTACTCAGAAAATTCAGTAAGTTCTAATAAAAACAATTGGAATTAGTAAGAGTTTAAGGGGAGTGGGTAGAAGGCAAATGTATAATTAACAATTGTGTTTCTTCCACTAGCAATTACCACCTGGAAACGGAGATGCAGGAAAGTTCTCCTTTCATAAGAGCAATTAAAGTACTTGGGAATTGTATTACAAAGACAATTACAGAACCTATCTGAAGAGATGAAAACCTATAAAATCGTAACTGAGGGACATAAGAAATATCTGAATAAATAGAAAGGCAATAGCCATGTGCTTGCATGGAAAGTTTTAATATAAAATAAATGTGTAAACAATACTATTCCAATTTGTAATCCCAATAGGGTTTGGGGGGTTGTGTTCTGGGTTGGGGGTGGAATTGATGACATTTTCCCAAAGTCAAGTAGAACAATAATGCATGGACAATAGTTAAGAGATTTCTGAAGGGGCACCTGGATGGTGTAGTTGGTTAAGCAGCCGACTTTGGCTCAGGTCATGATCTCAGGGTCTGTGAGTTTGAGCTCCACATCGGGCTCTGTACTGGCAGCTCAGAGCCTGGAGCCTGCTTTGGATTCTGTGTCTCCCTCTCTCTCTGCCCCTCCCCTGCATTCTCTCTCTCTCTCAAAAATAAATGTTAAAAAAATTAAAGACATTTATGAAAAAGAAAGACTAATGGGGGCAGGAGGGGCGGTTGGAAGGGGAGGTGGTTCTTGCCTTACTAGATAAAAAGCATACCGTAAAGGAATGAGATGGAAACTGTGGCACTGGCACGGGTGTAGACAGATTTGTGGAACATAGTAGCCCAGTCGTGGGCCTCTGAAAGCACTAAAGTCATTTGGATAGGTGGCATTTCAAGTGAGAAAGAGATATTTACTGATGGGTGCTGGCAATTCTTATTCTCTTGAGGTATCAGATGAAGATCAGTTGTTGGGGAGGGAGTGACAGAAAGCCTTTGACCGGCAACAAGGCTGAGGGGGCACCTCATCAGGCCTAAGGTCAGATTGGTCCTCATCTCCATTGTGTGCCTGCCCAGGTGTTGCCATGGTGATGGCGGTGGAGGACAGCAAGGTGCGAGTGGTGGTGCGGGTCCGGCCTCCCACCCCACGGGAGTTGGAGAGTCAGCGGCGGCCTGTCGTTCAGGTGGTGGATGAGCGGGTGCTGGTGTTTGACCCTGAGGAGCCCGATGGGGGCTTCCTTGGCCTGAAATGGGGCAGTACCCATGATGGCCCCAAGAAGAAGGGCAAAGACCTGACATTTGTCTTTGACCGGGTCTTTGGTGAGACGGCCACCCAACAGGACGTGTTCCAGCACACCACCCACAGCATTCTGGACAGCTTCCTCCAGGGCTACAACTGCTCAGGTGAGAATCTGGGCAGCGAGGAGGAAAAGCCCTGGTTGGTAGTGCCCTTGCCTTCCTGCTTCCTTCTAAGGGTTTCATCTGCCCTCTGACATGTGCCCACCTTCCCCTCCGCTGGGCACTTGCTGAGGAGGGTTCTGGCCCTTTCATTTCCTGTGGGTCCTCCATTCATTCTCCTTTGTGAAACACTCTACTGGGCTCTAGAAGCAGATCAGACAGACATGTTCCTTGTCCCCTTCATGCTTGCGTTCTAGAGGGGAGAAGACATTCATCACAAATCACCCCCACAAATGCATGATCACGAATGGAGGTTAGTAATGTGAGGGAAGGAACAGCAGGCCTGCAGCAGAGGAAGCTGCCTGAACTGGGGAAGGGAGAAGCTCTCACTCAGAGCAGAGACCCCTTTGCCCTGGAAGCCCCAAGCCCACAGGGGAGCTGGGCCATAGGCATAGAGAACTCAAAAGCCGCAGTGTGAACTCGGTGGGATGCGCGTGGGCAGTGGCAGTGGAGCTGTGCACAGGGAGGCGGAGGGAGGGGCTAGGGGAGAAGGGGAGGGCTGGCCTGGGTGGAAATGCGCAAGAGGACCCCTAGGGGAGGCGGATCTGGCTCTGCCACCACCCTACCCCCACTCTGTCCCCCACAGTGTTTGCCTATGGGGCCACCGGGGCTGGGAAGACGCACACCATGCTGGGAAGAGAGGGGGACCCCGGCATCATGTACCTGACCACCATGGAACTGTACAGGCGGCTTGAGGCCCACCAGGAGGAGAAGCGATTCGAGGTGCTCATCAGCTACCAGGAGGTAGGGCTGTTCCTTCACAGGCCCTGGGCAGCCTCACCCCTCGTTCTCACAACCCCTAAAGGTGGGGGGAAGGGAGAGAGAGTGGGGAGAGAGGGTGGTAGGAAGTGGGCCGATGGGGGCTCGCTGAGAGCCCAGAGAGCATAGACGCAGCTCTGAGAGAGACTGCACTGGAATTAAACCTGTCCGTCCTGCTCTCGCCATTTAACACTATCCTGCAAAGTGCCACTCCTGGCATGGTGTTCTGGCATGCTGCCCCTGCCCTGCACCTCAGGCCTCTCTCTTGCTTCCTTTCTCCACAGGTGTACAATGAGCAGATCCATGACCTCCTGGAGCCCAAGGGGCCCCTGGCCATCCGTGAGGACCCCGACAAGGGCGTGGTGGTGCAAGGACTTTCCTTCCACCAGGTGTGGGGTTGGGCTCGGGCGGCAGGAACAGCCCCAGGGTTCTCTCACCAGGCAGTTTGGGGATCCCCTGGATCGTGGGGTGGTGGTGGGAGCCAGGGGGTGACATTGGTTCTGAAGAGCGGCTCTCCCTTTTGGGGGAGAAGCCCCGTTTGGGGAGACCGCAGCCCCCTTCCTGGGCATCTCCTCCGTAGCCAACCTCAGCTGAGCAGCTGCTGGACATGCTGACCAGGGGGAACCGCAACCGCACGCAGCACCCAACTGACGCCAATGCTACCTCCTCCCGCTCCCATGCCATCTTCCAGGTGAGAGGGGTCAGGGGTTGGAGCCTGAAGCTGGGGCTCCTGATACCCAGCACCCCCTCACCCCTACCATCTGCCCCCAGATCTTCGTGAAGCGGCAGGACCGGGTTCCAGGTCTGACTCAGGCCCTTCAAGTGGCCAAAATGAGCCTGATTGACCTGGCTGGTTCGGAGCGGGCGTCTAGCACCCACGCGAAGGGGGAGCGGCTGCGGGAGGGTGCCAACATCAATCGTTCTCTGCTGGCCCTCATCAACGTCCTCAACGCCCTGGCCGACGCAAAGGTAAAACCGCACAGACCCAGAGCCTAAAGCCAAAGTTCCTTCCCTCCAGCCCTGGGTCTCAGCCTGGATCCGTCCAGTCCGGCTACCTCACCCCATGCCCCCTTCTGTCTCCCCAGGGCCGTAAGTCTCACGTGCCCTACCGGGACAGCAAACTGACCCGTCTGCTCAAGGACTCCATCGGGGGCAACTGTCGCACAGTGATGATCGCTACCGTCAGCCCCTCCAGTCTGGCCTACGAGGACACATACAACACCCTCAAGTATGCTGACCGGGCCAAAGAGATCAAGCTCTCGGTGTGTGGCAGCCAGAAATGGCCAATCTGTTGTGGGGGGTGCAGGAGGAGGAAGGGGTGGGACCCACACAGCTCTCTCCGCTACCTGAGTATTCCCCCAAGGCAGAGGGAAGAAGTCCCCGAGACTCAGTCTTTAGGGCGAGTCTGCTATAGAAGCCATGTAGTACCCATCCTTGGGAAGACTCCAGTTGCAGGAGAGGCAGGACAGTCTCCAGACTTGAAAAAAAATAATAAGGGATGCCTGGGTGGCTCAGTTGGTTAAACGTCTGACTCTGGGTTTCAGCTCAGGTCATGATCTCACAGTTCATGAGTTCGAGTCCCGCATCTGGCTCTGTGCTGACAGCTCAGAACCTGGAGCCTGCTTCAGATTCTGTGTCTCCCTCTCTCTCTGCCCCTCCTCCACTTGCGCTCTGTCTCTCTCCGTCTCAAAAATAAAAAAACATTTCAAAAATTTAAAAAAAAAAAAAAGGGAGACAACGGAAGGGGGTGGCCAAGTGCTGGCCAATGATCTTTTTCAGACTTGTTTTTAGCAGCAGGACAATATTTTCAGCCAAACAACATAAACAGTAACATGTAACACAGATAAAAGCAGAGTTGTCCCTGCCTCCTCTGAGGAGCCCTGATGCTCCTGGAGCTGTTGCTGGGAAGCCCCTGGCCTGGTGAGAGTGTATTGGTCAGGGAGTCAGGAGTCTTGGGTTCAAAAGCATCCTTCTGCCTCTTGCTGTGGTCCCAGGCAAATCGCTGCCCTTCCCTGATCTGTTTCCCCAGTCGGGAGGGTGATTCTTGAGAATGTGAGTAAAGCGCCTAGCATAGTGCCTGGTCATCGGAGGTGGTGGCTAAAAGCTGCTTTGAATGAACACGTGAAATCTCTCTTGTACCTTGCCCCCCTCTCTGCCCCGCATCTTAGCTGAAGAGTAATGTGATCAGCCTGGACTGTCACATCAGCCAGTATGCCACCATCTGCCAGCAGCTGCAGGCTGAGGTGAGGAGCCCTCCTGGGGAGTTTGGCCGGGAAGCAGGGCGCCAGAGATGAGCAGTGGGGCGCCGCCAGGGCTCCGTGCCCACCCCTCAGCGCCTGTGCTCACCTGGGGCTCTGAGAGGCTGGGTTGCTCTGATTGCAGGTGGCTGCCCTGAGGGAGAAGCTCCAAATGTACGAGGCGGGAGCCCAAGCACCACCACAGGACCTCCCGAAATCCCCCAGATCCGGCCCTCCCCAGCAAGCGTGAGTCCTGCCGCCGTGCTTACCCTCTTTAGCTCAGCAGGGAAAAACCCCCTTCCCCAGCTTCTGTGCTGCCACCTGGGGTTGAGGGTTCCCAGCCAGTGCCCAGGACACTGATTGCCACCTCCAGTGCTCTCTCATTTGACACAGCGTATTCTAGACAGCCCTAATAGCACCTCTCAGTAAAATAAGAATAGAAGAAATGATCTGTGTCAGATGAGTTAGTGACACCCCCCAGCCTGTATAAGGAGCATATACTATTTAAAAGAAGGTAAAATTAACAGACAAGCATCCTTGTTTCCTAAGCCAGGAAATCACCAACTCCCTCTCTCACCCTCTGCTACTGCCCACTTGTTACCCAGGCATCCATCCCTTATGGTTCTCTGCCACCTGGTGCCACAGAGACCCCACCCCTCCCTGCTTTCCCCACCTGACCCTGTTTCCCGCCTCTCAAGTCCCCTCCTTTCCCCCTTATCCTTCCCAGCTGCCCCTCACCGTCCCGTCTTCCCAGCCAGCCCTGCACCCCAGAGCTCCACCCAGGGTCTGCAGTCCTTCCAGAGGAGAGCCTGGGGCCAGAGGCCCCGGTGGGGAGGGTCATGGAAGGGAACTCTCCAGACCGGGAACCGCCCCCAGAGGACAAGGAAGACAACCCAGCCGAGGAGGTAGGACCTGGAGCTAGTGGAGGGTTGGAAGCAATGTCCCTCCTCAGCTCACAGAGTCTCTTCAGTTCTGGGCTCTCCACCTGGATGTCTTACGTGTTAGTCATTAAGGGGCTTTCAGATCCTGTGCAGGAAGGGGCGTCCCTGTCAGAGCCTATGTCTGGAAGTGACAAGCATGCATGTTACCAGAAGGGGAGCAGGGAGAGAGGAGGAGTCTGGGACGGAGAAAGGATCAACCGGGACCCAGTCCGCCCAAGATCCCCTCTTTCATCCCCCCCTTGGAGGAGGGAAGGATTTTAAGATCTGCTTATGTGGGGGAGGGTGGCCATCCTGGCCCCTCTACCTGTGACTCCTCTCCTCCTCAGGTTCCAATCCAGGTACCAGAGCAGACCCTCAGACACCCACTGCCAAGGTCCCCGGGCCTGACCCTGCAGCCCAAGCCAGACACGGGCTGCCTCTCACCACAGAACTTGGGCAGGGACTGTTCTAAGCAGTAGGTGTCTTCTCGTTCTTCTCCGGGGTCCAGGGTGGCAGGCGATGGGTTCCGACCTTCGGGGGTGGGGGGGGGAGCCGGTGTTCGGCACGTCGCCAGTGCTCTGGTTCTGCTCTAGTTGAGAGTCGAGTCTTTTTCCCTCAATGTTGTCCCTGATCTGCTTTCAACGACTTAAGATTATCACCTACTCTGTGTACTTACCCGTCATCTCTATTCTTCCACATAACTGGCGAGCAAAACACCAAATTCCATCCAGAATTTGGCTGGCAAGCACCAAGTTAGGGCAGGGCTGCCTGGCTAGTGCTGTGCTTCCCAGTCTGGGGGCTGAGCTGCCCGTCTGTCCTCTGCAAGGAGGAACCAAGCAGCCAAGAGAAGTTGGGTGGCGGGCTGAGAAATGGACAGCCGTCCCGAGTCAGGCGTTTATCAAGTGTCTTCATCAACGGATTGTGGCTATTTCTTCTCAGAAGTAAATACAGACCACCACCCAGAGCCAAAGAGAAATGGATTCTGGACCCTTGTTTCTGTGCTTAATAGAGAGGTGCTGCTAGTATGTTTTACCTTGGCCCCTAGACCATAAATCCCCTGCCACTTAGCTTTGCTGCTGCCAACCCCACTCCTGCCTCCCCAGCACGCTTCACGCTAGGCAGTATATTTAAAGCTTCCGGACAGAAGGGCCTGTTTAATTTTATTTCTTGTTGGGGAGTGTCTGTTCCCTACTCAGCAAAAATGCTGCAGCCTGAATAATCAGCGGCTCATTATCTATCTCCTGCTGCTGACTCCCCGGGGCCCTGGAGTGGCCAGGATGCGCTGGCAGGATGTCCCCTTGGCCCCCAGGGCTCCCACTGATGAGTCAGGGTCCCTTCCCTGTTCTGGCGTCCCCCGCTGTGAAGAGGGAGAACGCCAGGGCTCTCCTTTCTGCTTTGCCTCTGGTTTTGTGGTCCCCGACAAGGTGCTTCACTCTTAGCTATGATTTGGGGAACATAGGCTTTATTCTCCCTTCTTCTTAGGGCTAATAACAGACACTAATAAAATGTGACAGAAGACCCCATGTATCAGGGGCTGCAGAACATGCTAGATCCTCTCCATACTTGGAAACACCCTAACAACCAGATAATAGAAAATCATTTCTCTTTGGCTTTAGACTTTAGAATCTTGGACCACCAGGGCACTGAGTGGATCTTAGATTTTCCAGTTCAGTGGTTTTTCAGGATTTTTTTTAGCTACAAAGTCCTTTCTTCAAATGAAATCTTATGCTGAAGTTTAATATGTAGAACAGATAAAGCAGAGCTCCATTTTAAATGTCCTCCGATGGGTTTCGTGAAACCTAATTTGGAAACCCATGGTGTAGACCAGCTCCCCACTTGCCAGATGGGGTACCAGGGCCACACAGCCAGAGGGACAGGGTGAGACCAGGGTCACCTGACATCCAAGCCCATGCATTTCTCCCTAGACACTCACTTTTCTCAGGCAGATGTAGAATGAGTTTCTGCTGTGTCCTTTTTAATTTATATCCGGACTTCTTTCAAAAAGGCCTGGTGGCTGCTTTATAAAATGAGTTTGGATTCCCCAAGCAGACACTGAAGGCAGAGGAGGGGGCTCAGGGATGGCCAGGCAGGTAGAGCTACCTGAGGATAAATTATTGGCCAGGAGTAATCCCCACCGAGATAACTGTGTCCATTCTTTCATCAGAGGCGTGCCTCACAGGAAGGAAATTTGCTTTATTAGAATCTAAATGTACAATATCAATAATCGCATTACCCTCATAATTCCCTTTAAATAGCCCCTCAGTGCATGTGAAGTGTGCATTGATCCACACCAGCTCTTTCAGGATCCCCACCATGAAGTGGACTAAATGCGTTTTCGAGGGTCTTCTCAGAACCGAGACGAACACAGCATATCTAATCTCATCTCCTCTTGTCCTGACAAGCTAGAGGTTTTTATTTTACCGGTCACAGTTAACTTTACAGTGCTTAGTCCTCTTTAAATACTTTATATACCAAATAATTCATTTCATCTTCCCAACCACCCTAAGAGGTGGGTGTATTTGTTATCCCCGTTTTAAGGATGTGGACACTGAGGTTAAGTAGTGCCTCCAAGATCACACAGCAGCAAGTGTGGAAGCCTGGATCTGAGCTGGCAGGCTGACCTGAGCCTAGCTCTCACTGCTGCTACCTTACATTGCCCTTGGGTGGATGAACTTACTCAAGGTCAAGTGCTAGTAAGCGGCAGAGCTGAGAGGAAACTCAGACCTTCTGGTCCAAGGCCATTTAGTGCCCTTTCCCTACCTCCCAGGTCATTGTCTTTGTCAGGGCGCATATTTAGGGGTGAAGCCTCCCTCCTGCCTTGCTTGTGACCATCTCCACCAGCCTTGGTCTCCAGCAAGGGGGTAGCGAGGCAAGAGCCACAGCTGGGAGGGCAGGGAGGCCAGCGTGCCAGTGTGGGGGGCAAGGCAGGAGGGAGCCAGGGGACCCGCCCTCGTGTGCTCCTCACCGCTGGAGCAGTGGGGCCAGGTCTGAGGAGGGGCGGGATCCCCTCCCCTCCCTTCCAGGTTGGCCCTGAAGGTGCTGTGCCTGGCACAGCGACAGTACTCCCTGCTCCAAGCAGCCAACCTGCTGACCCCCGACATGATCACAGAGTTCGAGACCCTACAGCAGCTGGTACAAGAGGAAAAAGCTGAGCCCAGAGCCGAGGCCTCAGGCACACCCGGCCCGGCCAGGGGGGCACCTCTGGAGCTGCGTTTAGAGTCAGGTGAGTCTTGTCCCTGCTCTGCCTCTATCAATGCCCTCTCCAAGACCCAGCTCATGCTGAGGGGCGGCTGGGCCCTCAGCTGCTGGGTCATGCAGCGGTGGACAGGAGTCCCAGTAGACCTGTGGAGTTAGAGGCTCCTGTGTCTCCCCCAATTCTACAAATTCTCCTTCCTTCTGGATGGTCCCTGATCTCCCCGTAACACCTGCCTTCTCTGTGTTCAGAGTCTCCAGGATACTCTGGCCCCGTGACCCGGACCATGGCAAGGCGACTGAGTGGCCTCATGCACACTCTGGGGGTCCTACCAGGGCCTGACCGCACCCCAGCCCAGGTAGCCCGGCGGCCCACAGAGAAGAAGAGGAGGAGGAGACCGAGCCCCTCAGAGCCAGACAGCCCCCCAGCCCCGAAGCTGGGGACCAAACGCCAGCGCCAGTCCTTCCTGCCCTGCCTGAGGAGGGGGTCCCTGCCTGAGGCTCAGCCTTCACTCGGGCCCACCACCCCCAGAGGGGGAAAGGCCTCCTCCTCCTGCCACTCCCCTCGCATCTGCCCAGCCACAGTCATCAAAAGCCGGGTGCCCCTGGGCCCTTCTGCCGTGCAGAACTGCTCTACTCCTCTGGCCCTGCCCCCTCGGGACCTCAACGCCACCTTTGACATCTCAGAGGAGCCCCCCTCAAAACTGGGTTTCCTTGAATGCACTGGCTGGGAGAATGTTCTCCAGGAGCCGAGCACGCTGGATCAGCCCTTCATCCCCAGGTGGGTCTCCCTTCCAGCCTCCCTCCCATCCTTCCAGGCCAGGGATGGGGAGTTGGCGAGGGAACAGAGGTGCTGCAAAGAGTAGAAGCCAGCCTGACTCTCAGAGCCGGACGTTTGCTGTCTTTCCCCCTTTGGTCTGAGCAGTGTCGCTCCCCAGGCCCGGGACTGCTGCTCCTTCCTGGCTTGTCTGTCCATACTTCAAAGCCGCCGGCTCTGTGCTGGTTTGTGGCATGCCCACAAGGAGCTAACGGGACCCCCTCTCAGGGACGGCCAGCAGGGAGCAGGAATAAGGAGGGGCCTAGCCCTCTCCGTCCCTCTGCATCACTGGTACTCTCTGGCTCAATCTCAGTCCCAAGTCCCGCTGATAAATATGTGCTCCTGCCATTTCCACCCCGGATTCCACCCTCCAGCCCAGCATTTGGAACTGGGAAGGGGATCCGCAGAAAAATTTTACTCAGCCATTTTTCAGTGAGACGATGAAGCTCTCACCTTCACCTTCCACCCACAGGAAAGGGGAAGGATGATCAGCTCGGGACAGTCCAAAGCCAAGAACAAATGGCAGACTGACCTTGTACTTGTGAGGCCAAGGGCGGTGGGCTGCCCACACCCCCTGCCCGTCCTACAGCCTGCACCACCTCTCGGTAACAGACTCATAGCCAGGCAGGTGGAAGGGTCAAATTGTTTGAACTCCAGTTCCCTGCACGTGCCAGAAACTGACATCTGGATATTCTCCCAGAACAGGCCTGTCACTCAGCTGTCAGCCCAGGCCGAGTAAGGCAGGGAGAGGAATCTACCTCTAAGTAGGAAGAAACCTCAGAGGTCATCTTATCCAACCTCCCCACCCGCCGAGCTGGGGGCTGGAGGGAGGAGGCGCTGGCACCTTTTCCTGTTTCCCTCCTGACCTGCCTTCCTTTACCTCCCTCCCTCCCGCAGTGGACCTGTACCCCTGTTCACCATGAAAGGCCCCAAACCAACATCTTCCTTCCCTGGGAGCTCAGCCCGCAAGAAGAGGCGCATTGCGAGGTGAGGCTGGGGGAGTACGTGGGGAGAGACAGAGCTTTCTCCGGGGCAGCGGATGCTGAGCCAGCTACGGGGCTCCACTGTGTCTCTGGACCCCTTGGAGCCAGTAGCAGGGGTCCTGTGAGCAGGGCCAGCATCGGATTCTCTTACTGAATGAGGTTCCCTTGACCCTTGCTAGTACAGGATTGTACCAGAAGGGAAGGGTATCTCCCTTCTTTAGTGAAAGGCTATAGGCTCCTCTCCATGAGGGAGACGGTCAGTGTTCACTGGTTAATCTGGGGACCAGATCACCCACCCCTCACCTCTACTTCCCTGCTATACCCCACGAAGCTCTCCTTCCCACTGCCTCTTCCTGCCTTCAGATCTGGCCTTAGAAGCTCGAGCTGGTGCTTGGCCTCCCCCTGCTCTCAAGGTTTAGTGTCTAGCTCTACGCCTCCACCCCTACCCTGTAGTCCCAAGGTGTGGCTGTGATCTTCCTAACTTCCTTCCTTCCTTCCCTCCCTCCCTCAGTTCCTCAGTCTCCCGCTCCCTAGGAGTGGCCCGTGGCCGCAGCCGCATCGCCCGCCTCCCCAGCAGCACCTTGAAGAGGCCAGCTGGGCCCCTCACAATCCCAGGTGACTGGCACTGGGGACAGGGATGGTCTGGGCCACAATGGGAGATGCAAACAGGAAGCAGGAGGGAACAGGAGGGCCAAGACCCAGGTGAAAGGAAGGCCTGGGGTATTTCCCAGCGTTTTAGGGACCCTGATGAGAGAAGTGGGAGAAGAGTGGGGGTGGGGAGCAGTGGGACAGAACCTGACTTTCTCCCTCCCTGCCTGTCCCCATCCAACTGGCCTGCAGAACCCCCCTCCAGTCCCCGCTGCCCTGGCAACCAGAGGAGCCAGCAGGAACTGATGGGGATTGGAGGAGCCCTGTCATCTGGGAGCTCTATCACCAAGGTGTCCTGACCCACCAGCTCCTCGTGGTCCCTGGAACCGCCTGTGCCAGGAGCCCTGACCTGCCTTCCTCACCTCGGAGCAATTAAGGGCAACACCCTCTTCCTTTATTAACACTCCTCACCAGCCATTCATTTTGCTACCTGCCCTCTTTATCAATCTCTTGTTATACTCAGTTTCTCAGCCTGCATATATTCATCTTGAGTGTCAACATGTTGCTATTTTAAAGGTGCAACCACCTTACCTCCCCTAGTTCATAACACTCTCCACGCGAGCAGGTGGCCTTGGGGGACTTTGCTCCTCCCCTCCCATCTAACAGAGGGCTCTGTGCAGTCATGGCCGCTGTGCAATGAAGAAGGGGCGAGGCTGGGATGGGATGGGATTGGGTGCGGTAGGGGCTCCCAGCCTGACTCTCCCTGGTGTGTGAGAGAGGGAGGCACCGTCAGCCTCATCCCTGCAGCCCAGAGCAGGAGCCCCAGCCCCGGGCTGCTATCCTAGTGATGATGTGGATGATAGTGGTGTTTGGATTTCCAAATGAAGATAGCTTTATCATTTCTTACTCTACTGCAAACAGGATGCACACTCAGTGTAAAAAGAAGCGTACAGAAGAAAGGGAAATTCAGCCTTAATGCTACCACCTAGATGTAAAAGCTGTTAATACTCGAGTTTATATCCTCTGATCCTTTATTTCTGCATATATACATATATATGTACATGTAGATATAGATATATTTTTTTATTATAATGATTAATAAACCATCTCCATCCTTGGTGTGTGTTTCTTTCCATATGCCTGCACAGGATAGCAACCTTCCCCAGAAGATTCTGAGTATAGAAAGCGTTCCCCACTGCCTCCTTCGGCAGCCTGAGGTCTGGGCCTAAGGGTGAGCTCTGCTGCTTACTCCGTGGCCCCATCCCCCACCAAGGGCCTCTGCTCCTGAGTGGGTGAAGAAAGCATCCCACGTACAGGCCTGCACCATCCTTCTGCGGCCTTGGGCAGAGGTTGCTAAGAGTCCTGCTGTCAGGGAGCATGTTTAGCGGCCCCAGGTCTCAGGTGAGGCTCAAGGCTCAAGGCTAAGCCCCGACCGCTTGAACCCAGTACAGTCTTCCTTCAGCTCCAAAAGCCCCACTCTCAACCCTATTCGTGGCTTTCCTTTCCACTCATTTGGGTTGTGATGGTTCAACACAGGTTCACCTCTGTCTCTCCAGGAAGATGTGGCTGGCTGAATGAATTAATAGTGTAAATAAAATTATAGGAGTCTGTGTTTAACTTGCTTCTCAAAACAAACATGTTAAAGGTATTTAGCACATTTTGAGTAGCGTGTAAATAATGCTGCTAATTTCCAATGAGTCCTCGCCGTTCTGGGGGAGCAACCTCCCCCTCTACCTGGTGAGCCCTGCCCCACTCAGTTTGGACTCCTATTTGGAGGAATGGAGACAAGAACACAGAAGAGGCGCCCTGGGTCCTGCCCAGCTGCAGGCATCTCACAAAACTTTGCGACCTTATGAGGTATAATGAGGAAAGAGACTCAAGAAGGTTAACAAAACGTGCCCAGGGTTAGACAGCAAGTGGCAGGGCCAGGATTCGGACCAGGGTCTGGTTCTTCGCATAACACCAAGCTGTTTGCCTTTAGAAGTGAACAGGCATTTCTTTCTGCGTGCCTGGGGTTCCCGCCTCTCCAATTAGTCTTAATGAGTTTTTTCCCCCCATGCTCCATGATTCCCACAGAAGCAGTCACAGCTCCACATCTGTAGCCCCCAGCGGCCTGGCGTGGTGCCTTGACCTTAGGAGACCTGGCTGAGTGCTGTTGGATTCAAATGGAATAACTTGCGCATTTCCTGGGGCCCTCACATATATTATCTCATTTGATGGTCACCATCACCCTTGCAAGCACCGGGGCAGCAGGCACAGGACAAGGCGGCTGGTAACGAGGGCCAGAAGGGCAAGCCTCACACAACAGGGTCCATCGCACGAGGCAGAATTTGCCTAGGCTGGGGGCAGCCCGCAAGTGGAAGAGGTCACTCTTGACAAGGATGTTCTGCAACCGGCCATTCGCTCAGCAAACATTTGTGGCTCCATGGTGCAAGATATGCTCTCGGGTGACCCATTAAATGTACAAAGACTCTGCCAATGGAGTTAAGCACGTGTGGCTCCTGCCCTCAATCACAGGAGGTCGGGCTGGGAGTGCTCGCTGCACGGTGTCCCGCTGGCCAGGAGGCAGCCTGGCTGGTCCCAGCTTTGCAGGGAGCTGGCCGGGGCTGAGGGGGCAGCGAGCTGACAGCCAGCTCCCAGCTGACCTCCGTGGGCAGCGATGAGGTTCTGAGATTGGATTGTTCTTACATAAAGAGAGTCATCCTGGAGACACGGCAATCAATGGCCCCCCCATCCACTGCAGGCCCAGCCTGATCTAAGGCCCCTCTTCCTGCTTCACCTGGCCTCTCTCACCTTGGGGTTCTGGGCAGAGCCCCTCACTCCACTTCTGGGAGTTTAGAATACTCTCTTCCCAGGCCCTCTGCACCCATCTCCTTGCCCACCTGAGGCCCCGAAGCTGGTGTCTGGACCCCACACTGGGGTACCAAGTCCTGTCTGATTCAGAGAACCAGGCTCAGTGCCAGGAGCTGCAGACACAGAACAAGACATTGTCCCTTCACGCAGGGAGTCGGGATGGTGCCTGTCCCTTTCACCCGAGTGTAAGCCCAAACCTCCTTCAGTGTTGGGACCTGTCAACAGGAGGGACCCCGCTTTTCCCCCTGGGTCCTCCCACCCCCAGCCATCAGCTCGGCCCCCACAGGGGACTTTGTCACCAGAGGGGGTGGGGCATGCTGCTAACTTAGCAGTCCTCCATCTCAGGCCGCTGCTCATCTGTCTCCCAGTTTTCCCAGGAATGTCCCTCTCTGTCTCTTAGCTAAGCTTGGGGGATCCTGGTTCCCAGACAGAATCTAGTTCATGGTTGTCTTCCCCTCCTCCGTGGTTCTTTTGTGAAGAGGGACCTCGGAGAGCTTGGGATGGAGGTTGTAGGGGGAGGAAGCGACCAGAGTCCCCCCCCCAAGGGCCTGGAGACCATGGCTGTATTTTCTAGCTCTCCTTAAGTGTTCCCTTCAACTCGCCTACAGCCTTTCCACCCCTGTTCCCTGGCGCATCCTGTCCATTTGGAGGACCACTGGATTGGAAATAACAGGCTGCCTGCCAGCCCTCTCCTCCCACCAGGGACACATCTGGCCCCTGCCTCTCACCCTCCCAGAGGGACTCAGTCAGGCAGGGAGACAGAGGGGAGCAGGGAGCAGAACAGATCGGGGAAAGCAATTAAAAAGCAGATCTCAGGGTTAGAGGCTGGAAAGTGGGGGGCAGGCTGAAGCGCCCGGGAGGGTGGGGAGAGGCGGGGAGAGAAAGGGTCCAAGTTTATTAACCCCAGGGCCGCAGCCTGGCCCCTGGGTCCGTGAAGGTGAGTGAGCTGATGCCTCCAACCACGAGCTGACAGCGGCCAGGAAAGAGGAAGGGGAAGGAGTCTGGGGGTTCATCCAGGAGCTGGGCCACTTCCCAGCCACAGGAGTTGGGCACTTCTCACCAGCAGAGCTGGCTTGGCACAGGCTGACAGATGACAGGAGAAGGAACCAGCCAGGGCCTGAGGTAGCCATTCTCCGGCTAAAAGGGGAGACAGTCCCTGCCCTCAAGGAGCTCCTGTCTGACGGTGAACCATGAGCACTTGCATCAGGGAGCTCCCATCCAAGAAGAGAGGGTGTCCCGAGGGACCATATTGTTAGGGAGACTCCATTCTGATGGAAAGATATAGGTCCTAACATCAGGAAGCCCCTATCCATGGGGCCCCTCTCCTTGGGAAGCCTCAGGCTGAGGTGCAGGAGAGACCCACTCCGATGGGACATGTTGACACACTAAGATCTTCTCACAGTGGAGCGGGCGACTCGATCTGCGGGTCGTGAGTTCGAGCCCCACGTTGGGTGTGGAGCCTACTTGAGAAAGATAAAATAAAATATAAAAACACCAGAGCTTCTCAAGCCAATGGAGTTGTGGGCCTCAAGTCTACGGCTGGGGAAGGGCAAGGATGGAGGGACAGAGCCCCTGGGGGGAGTCAGGGAGGCGGGAAAGCAAGCTGGGAACTGCTACTCCGGGGTAGTCAGAGGTAATTCACACCTGTCTCCTGGCAGCCCCAAAGCCACACACAACTCGTGGTCTGGGGGCAAATGGTGTTGCCTCCTATGCTCTCTTCACTGGCTGGTGCCCCCTGTGTCCTCTCCATACTCCCAGGTAACTGTCCTGGGGAGGTACCTATACACTGTCCCTTCCCCACCCCCAGTGGAGCTAACAAGACATGCCAGCGCCCCCTGGGGGACCCAGCTCTGGCCCCTCTAGGCCCGCCCCATTGCTAACGTGTAAATAGGTAAAGCACCAGGGACGTGTTATTAAATGGAGTCTATGGTTTGTAGAGCAACTGCTGTGTCCGGCTTTCACTGACTTTATCCTCACAGCCACCTTGGAAGTAAGTGCAGCGAGTCCCCATTTTACAGGTGTGGAAATGGAGACTCGGAGAAAGTTCGTGAAGTCATCCAAGATCACATAGCCATTGAATGCCCATGGCCTTGCTCTCCTCTAGAGGGCACTGTCATAGCAGTTAGAAGCAACTCAAGAGAATAAATGGAGTGATCCCTCTGGGTGATACAAATGTGGGTTTTAGAAACTCTACCTACAGCTGTGAGACCCATGTTCTCCCCTCTGCGGCGCCCTGCTGTTTCTTGAACCTGGGCAGCTGCGCAGTGCCATCTAGTGGCCACCGGGGCCTGGTTCCCTTCCTCGGGGTCGGGGCCCACATGGGATGGATGGACTCAGTAGTGGCCAAGGAGTCCACCAGAGAGACCCAAGTTCTCTTCATCCCACCCACGCTTGCTGACTGCCATGCTGTGCCAGGCACTGAGAACTGGGCAGGGGCACAAGGAGAGCCAGTGGGCAGCAGTCTAGTGGCTTGAATTAGAAGCTGGCAAATTTAGAAAACGCTAGGCATCTGGTGTGTGGGTTGAGGCCAGGTGTGCTATTGATCTGTCCCAGGAGGCACTTGGGCCCTGTAAGCAGGAGGGCATCCTGGCAGATTCTGACACAGGGGAGGGGCGTAGGGGGTGGGAGACCATCTTGTCCCCACCTTGGCTTGAAGTGGGGGCACATCTTGGCTGAAGGCCCTGCAGAGGGACATCCAGGCATCCTCTCTCCAAGGCCTGCAGCTTTCTGTTGTCTATCCAGAAATCAGTCTAGGGATTGGCTTGAGGTTTCGGATGGTGAGGCCCTTAGATTAGGGAGGCAGGAGAGGAGGGGCCGCAGAGATGGGGCCTCAGCCAGGCCAGAAGGATGGGAGTAGTGGGGGATGCTGGGAGCTGCATGTGTTTGAAGCAACTGGGCGGCATAGTGGGATCTAGAACAGAGAGAGGGAGAGAGAGAGGCGGGGCGGGGGATGAGTGTGCGTCTAACAATAAAGCTTGGGCAAATGAATGCATACAGTGGAGAGCCATGCAGCTGTTAAGATGATGATGTAGATAAATATTTATTGATATGTAAAGATGTTCACAACATATTGCTGAGTGAAAAAAAAAACAAATTACAAAATAATTTGTACGGCATGAGCCCACTTGTAAAAAAAAAAACAAGAATTTATAGATGTGGGGGGAAATCTGGTAGTGTTTATTATCTCCAGGTGGCAAAATCATGGCTAATTGAACTTTTTCGTTTTGCTTATCTGTGTTTTCTGATTTTTCCACGATGAATGTGTGATATAAAATAATGAAAGTTTGGCAAATGACCACAACCAGCCTGGTTCTTGTGTGGACATCTTCGGATGGTTAAGGGCTGGGCGTGGGGGATGGGTCTAGGGTCAGATGGAGGTTGAAGATGGAGCGAGAAGCCTGGGTGACACAGGTCCAGGGCAGGTGGCCGAAGCGGGTGAAGGGGGGCCTCCCTCTGCTGCTGCCCAAGTGCTGTGTCACACACACACAGGTGCGATTCAGTGAGCCTCACTGCCAAGCCCTTCCTGCTCTTGTGACATCTTTTCCCTCCAAGATGGCTTTGCACTCCCTTCAACTAGATTTTACTGGAACGGAGAGAGAAGTCCGCACACTGTGACTTGCCCGGCAAGCTGGAAGGACAGCCGCTCCCAGACACAGAGAATAGTGGGGACGAGGGTTTGCCCTCAGTCTTGTTCTTCTTGTAATGTCCCCTGACCTTTCCCAGCTCCCCAATCCTCAGCAGGATCAAAAGTCATGGGGCGTCCCCTCCTCAAGATTTCCCTCCCCATGTTACTGCTCAGGTCCAGGATCAGGTGTGGCTGAAGACTTAGGGACCCTCGCCTCCCCTCTCTGCGCTGGGACTCACAGGGGAAACCTCGGCAAGCAGCCCATAACATGCCCGAATGGAGAGCATCTACCCAGTGTGGGGTAAGAGGCATTGCCCGGACTGGAGCACAGGGGTGTGAGCGGGCTCTGGGAGCTGGCGAGGGGGCAGGCAGCCAGGCCTTGTCTACAGAGCTGGAGACCTGGCAGAGCTGGACTGGCCGCCCCCTGCCACCCCAGGGCCTTCTCCTTGTGCCCACTGAATGACTCACCTTGGCACAGACACAATAGTCAGGGGTGGGCACAGAGCCTGCTCCCCACTGCACCCCAGCCCCCTCAGATGCTTCCGAGAAGCTCTTTGAGCTGGGGGCTTGGGCTGTACTCTGCCTAACAGTCTGGCATCTTGGGATAAAGACAACACAGCCCCCCAGGGGCTGCCCTCTCTGAGTGGCGCCCTGACCAGTGGTGGAAAACAAGGCTCTATTCAGCAAGTGCCCAGGAGAAGGGATCAGAGGCCCAGGCATGGGCATGGGCAGCAGGGGGGTGGGGAGAGGAAGGCTGCCCGCTTCCCAGAAGTCCAAGGACACAGATGAGTGAGGGGCCTGGGTGAGGCTCTGGCCCTGAGGGATCAGAACAGAAGCGGGGGGTGGATCTGAAGCATCAGGCTATAGGGCGCAGGCCCTGGGCTACCTAGTATGGGCCCAGCGGCTCCTGGGTTCCCAAACTGACCCATCCCCAGAGACCTTTCCCATCCTTTCAGCCAGATGCGTGGGAACTCGAAGGAGATAAATCTCCAATGTGAAAGTGAGGTGAGGGGTGGCCAGAGAAACAGGGTGATGTAGGAACAAAGACAGGAGCCGGGACAGCCAGCTCATCCATAACTGCTTTGTGCAGCTGTCAAGGCCGGCTCCGGGCAGGGGTGCAGAGAGGCTGAGCAAGGGGGACAGGAGTCCGGTGGGACCGAGGCAGGAGCTTAAGTGTGGCCCAGGGAGAAGGCCAGGGAATGCAGCCTCTGCCTCTCTTGCCCCCTCGGGGTTCCACGTTCCCTCCA